GGACGGCTAGCGCAGATATCCCTCGTGTAGCTTTGCGCGAAATCCGTAACAAACAAACAAACTGGTCAGAAATTATTAATAAGTCAAACTTCGACAAAAAGATTATTGTATATAGGTAATTTGGGTGTAATATAAAAGATAAGGATCCTTGCAAAAAAACACACCAATTACACGTTATTGAAAAAACTGAGATCAAAACAGAAGTCATACCTCATTTTGAAGCGAAGGTCACTAGCAATCTTTGGCTGTCAAAAAGCATTTCAACTGTAATTTAGTGATAACTTACATAAGAAATTTGAATTGTCTAAATTATTTTTAAAACTACACGTGCATATACGTGTGTATCATTTTGTTTATTGTAAGTATAAGTACTGTTTTAAATCAGATTTTTATCTTCGTATTCTCATCAAGAGTCAGCTTTACATGGAGAAAATTATTACCTTAGGGAATTTCTGGCCCAACCCATCTTGTGGCCAAAACCGGAGACACCTTATTATAGTGAATGATGTGTGTGTAAAAAGAGAAGGAGTATCTTATAGCCTAAGAAAATAAAAACTTCGTAAAATAAATATATGTGTAGCTCATCAATCTTGCAATATATTAAAAAAAAAGAAAAAGAAAAAATCCTATCCGTTCAACCTAAAGTCAACAAGGAAGGACATAATTTATATTTATCTAGTTTGTAAGTAGGAAACTAAACACTGCCCTTCTATTTAATTAGTGCACGTCTATAAGAGCACCTCTCTAATGTTTAGAATGTTGAATTTAGCTAGTTCCTGGAAATTCTAAACTCTGTCTCATGTTATAATTTTCGTTTATTTGGATCTGGTATTTCATCTTATTAAAGCAAACAAAAGTACAGTGTATTACGAAACCTACGCTAACTAGTGGAATAAGTTGAATAAATGTACACAAGTTGCATGTTTCTAAGCTAAACCACGTTTATTATATATATATATAAAAGCTTTACTGCAATAATTGACTCGGCTCAAATAATACTGCCAAATTCAATTAGGACATTTGGAAAACAAGTACGATAAATATGTATCTAAATGAAATTAAAATGAGCTGGTTATTACTGGCATTTTCAAACTTGTAAGTGTAACTCAAGATAATAACTTCTACTACGTTTTTTTTTTTTAATATTGTATTCAAGGCACAAACTCAAGATAATAACTTCTCCCTACTTTTTTTTTTAAATACTGCATTCAAGACACTAACTCAAGATAATAACTTCTCCCTACTTTTTTTTTAAATATTGTATTCAAGACACTAACTCAAGATAATAACTTCTCCCTACTTTTTTTTTAAATACTGTATTCAAGGCACTAACTCAAGATAATAACTTCTCCCTACTCTTTTTTTTAAATATTGTATTCAAGGCACTAACTCAAGATAATAGTTTCTAGCTTCTCCCTGCTTTTTTTTTTTATTGATTTCAAGGCACAGCCATACTAAGCACGCTAACGGAGTGAATGTCACTTTTATTTACACTCCCATAGCTGAAATTGCGGGGAATATTTTGTAATACCGCATGGATTCGAACACGGATCGCCAGCTTCAAAATCCAGAGTTCTACCACAGGACCAACCCGCACCAGAACAATTTAAAATTTAAAACAAATCCACACGTCAACGTTTTTAATATGTATATATATATCATACAAACTAGTAGAAAAATGATTGTCCCATCCGCGAATGTTTTGGTACAAAGCATTTTAATTCAAATTTTCCATTTAGTAACAAAATGTTTGTATTATTTCTTTATTATTATTATACTTATCAACGAATATTGGGATTGATCGCCACATTATAACGCCCCCACAGCTGAAAAGTCGAGCGTGTTTGGTGTGACGAG